TTGTTCCAAGACAACAAGGGATGTCTCAGTGACTCGATTCCTCACAAAATTAAAATAACTGAGCAGAAATGTATTGACTTCATGAATGTGATACCAAATGCCACTCAATATGCCAAGATCAGTACAAATTATCCCAATTTGCTTTGTGATTTAAAAGTATACATGATAATTACATGTGATCCTAATGCTTTCTTTAAAGCATAACTGGCCTCAGTAGGGTAGATGCAACACCCTTTGCAATTACATCCCTATAGAACAGAGATGAGGACTGCTTGCCTTCTAGAACTTGTTGGGATTATATGTCCCAGCATCTGTGACCATTGGCTATAGTTGCTGGAGCAGGTGGAAGTTATCATCTAGCTATTTCATGAGGGTCACACATTGCTCACACCTGCTCTAAGAGGTGTCTTCACAAAAGCATTATTTCTTCCATAAATGTCTATGTTGGGAGTTTAGTTCCCCACGGTGTGTCTCAGGAGAAGAGCCAGCCTGTGTGGCTTTGGGCAAACTGCACAAGCTCAGGATTCCCCCACAAGAAGGTAATGGCAAACCACCTTGGAGTACTCTTTACCTAGAAAACCCCGTAAAGGGATGCCTAAGTTATAACTGACCTGATGGCACACCATTATTATTATCTTATTTGGGCACACTTTCTTAGTTTGAACTCCTGGTCGTATAATGCTGGACTCATCACTTCCTGGTTTTTAAAGATGGCTACCTATCTGTCAGGCTGTGGCAGGAAGCTCAGTGGGAAGCAGGGCCTCTTTCCACTGGCTCAGCGGAGACCTCAGCTCTGTGGTGCCCCTCCTCTCACTGAACTGTTTCTACTCCAGCTGTAATTGGTGACAACCGTTAAGAACTGATCCTGAGATCCCCTTCCTATTCCTATTTCCTATTGTGTCATGCCTTGTAGACTGCAAACTGGACCATCAGCCATTAAGATATCCCTCCTCAGGAAGCGTTCTCAAAGCAAAAGTGGTAAAAAAATTTCAAAGTGTACAAATTAGGATGATCACCACATTTCGTCCTAAGATGAACTACTACTACCAAGGCATCTAGACGGCAGGACTAATTCTTAATGTGTTGATTTCCGTAAGGCAGCCTAGAAGCCTATAATGGGTTTAAATGCTTTGCTCAAGCACTGTCTTCTGGGAGAGGTTCTGACTGAGGATCAAATAGACCACTGAGTTATTAAATCACAGCCAGTGCTCTCAATAGAGCCACTGTAGCTAGCAAAGTCCAATATTAAAAAGCACAACTGAAATATAGTAAACGTTGTCTTCAGTCCATGTCAGTAATTATTTAGCATCTTCTTGCAACAAATTATTTGAAGCATCCTATTTGATTACTACATGGAGGTAAACAATGCATTATAGAATAAACTTCTATAATGTATTGTGGTATATTACAACAGTCTAACTCAGAAAAACCATTCCACTCTGCTTCATCCATGTCTTGTGGAGCAAAACGCTGGGAGACCTAGTCTTGGTTATTTATTTCCAATTAATTAGAAAAGTGAGTGCAATTCTCCTGCCCCACTGCCTGTTAAAGACGCAGGATTAGAAGGGTTCCAAAGAGGGTAAAAATCTGTATAGGCAAGGCTTGACAATTTGACCTTTAAAATGTCCATGAAGGAACCTCATCAAAATGAGTGGATCTTACAGTACTTTGTGCCTCCCTATAGTACTGCCAGACACTCTGTCACTGTCAGACTAGACTTCTAAACAAATCTTGGAAACAACATGTTACAAGAGATGAAGTTCCCTGCAAGACATTGCCTTGTGCAGTTCATGATGGCATAACAAAGTTATTTTGCTAAAACAATGTTACAATTGGTTATAGAAGGATCTGAAAAGTGAAACAAGAAACTTTATACATTATGCTTAAACTGTTGCTTGTGAGAGGGGTTCTAGCTAATTTTGCCTGTTTAAGGTGTATTTTTAAAACACAACAAAAATTGAACTAAAATGCTACTCTTCAAATTACAAACAGAATTAGTTATTCTACACACATACTTTTTTAAAAAGTTACCAAATTACTTTGTGAAAACAATAGTGCTGTTGGCAAATGTGTATCTGTATCTCCAAGATCTAGTACAGTTTCAGTGCTGACCACAAGCAATGTATGTAGTTTCGAGAAGACAGGGAGGGACCTGCAATAAATCTTGTGGTTTAAGAGGAGTGGTACTGCCCAGGGCTCACAAGGGAGCAAAGGCGGCTTCATGCAGGCAGAAGGGGGAAAGCATGCATCCATTTCTTCCCTACACTCTGGAAGATTCATTCAAATGCCCTGCAGAACTATAGCAGGAGTGGGCAACCAATTTGGCTCCTAAGGCTATTTATTATTTCAGGTGGAGGAGGATCTATGCAGGTACTGTATAAGCATGCATGTGGTCATTTCTCCACATTAAATTCAAATCTGCATTCGTTGCCCAATGAAATGTAGGGAAAGGGTCCTGGCACTGCCATGATCACAAGGAGAAGGTTTGATTTCTTCCACATACACATACTAGCGATTCTCACTATTAGGTTTGCTGTGGCCATTAACATGATTTCAACAACAGTGTTTACTCCACTGCCTAGCTGATGCCCAATCAGCAGGCCTGTGAGAGGTGTGAGGCTTCCCTAGCAACATGGAGAGGTAGATAGTCACAGACATGCTGTACCCATATCTGTGCTAAAGGATGCAGGTTTGATGTTGGGTTCTAGTCAAGAGCCTTAGTGCCATACTACTGTAATGTGCGTGGTTTCTGGAGAATGAGAAAATGAAAGGGTACCTCATTTTCCTTTTCCACCTCCTCCTCTTGAAATTTCAAACATGGGGAGTTTTCTTTGACTTCCTGGTATTAATTTTTCTACTCCTAATCCTAACCCACAGCATTATTCACGTTGAGAGACTCAAACAGACCCATACCCCTAACCAATTTCTTCTCCTTGTGGCTGACATCTTCAGCATTAGACTGGCCAACCACTGCCGTCTTTAGAACATAAGCCCTAGACATCACACAGCTAGGCCCCTGCTTGGCTTTGATTATTCAGAATGTCTTTTAATTTCAATTTACAGATAGGCGTAAATTGGGCTAGGACTCAGGTGATCTGGAGTCAAACCCCTGTTCAGCCATGGAAACTCACTGGTGGTGGTGAGTGCAGCAACAATAAAACATCTTAAATAACTCACATACCTTGAAAACCCTATTGGGGTCACGATAAGTCAAATGTGATCTGACAGCACATAATATATTTCTGCATACTGCCATGGGAACACCCAAAACTGGAATGAGAGAAAGATGGTCCTGTATTGTACTGAAGGCAGTGAAACTTCTTGGAGTGATTGGTTAAGCAGAAGTGGTAAAATGAATGTTTATCAGTCTGCTCAAAGAACAAAGTTATCAGAATGTTTTGAGTCCAGTTTCTGTGAAGGACAAGTAAACAGGCAGTTTGACAAGGATTAAGACTTTACACAACCCATAAGAACAGGAATTGTTTTGTGGAGAACGCTGATTGGCCCAAGGAGGTAGGAAATCTATGTTCCAAAGTGGCCAAAGGAAGATTGCAAAGCAGCCAGTGAAACTTAGAAAGCGGAACCCAAATAATGGAGATATGAAGGTCTGAGCAAAAAGTCAGTGGAGACAAGAATCCAAAGCAATTCCTACAAGAAGAAGAATGCCTGCTATCAGACAGGTTGTGTAGTATTCTTGTGAGGCTGGCCAGTATAACCAAAAGAAATAGGAGAAAGTAGGAAGTAGACCGAAAAGCACCCACCTAAAGAAACAATAGGTGCTATGGACTTGGCATAAAATATAGGAAAAAGTAAGCATGAGAAAAAAAAACTGGGGTAAAATACAGAGGAGGGACTGTGAAGGAAGTGGACAGTTGGGGGAAGACTGAAGGGTGTCAGGCTTCACATCCAAGAGGTCCCAAGTTATCTGGATCTAAGAATTCAGCCCCCAAGAAATCTGCTGCACCAGCAGCTCAATCGCATAGAAAAAAGGAAAACTGTCAGCTGAAGCTTCTATATCACCTAAGCAGCACTGTGACCTAGAATGTCAAAGAAAGGACTAAAATACAGCAAAAAAGCAGGAACTGCATTTTACAAATCCTTTTGGATTAGCTGACCACTTTTGGACTATTTTTAAAGTCTGCTCATTCATGGCTGATATGGTCCATATGTTTCTGTTGAATTGGGCCACCCAAGATAGAAAATCTGCGCAAAATGTGGGGTTAAACCTCTCCTAGTCCCAAGCTCTTTGTCCCATCTTATATACCTAAGCAATACATTTTGAAACTTAAAGTCAGTATTGTCCTTGCTTGCTTCAACCCATGGCTGGCTGGAACTTTGAAGAAAAGTGAAACAGAGTAACTGGAGTCAATAACTAGGTGTTTTTTCTACTTTTTGCTGCTTGAATTGCCCTGGACCTGGCCAGATGTCTGCAGCAAGTCTTGTATGATTGCTGTGGTGGTAGAAGTATGATTCAATTCAATTTCGGCATTTAGCAGCTGTCAAAACACAGAGAAACCATGTTTTTCTAGAGAAAAGAATGAATGGAGTACTCAGGAAGAGACATCAGGGCAGGCAAACAGAAAGCATATCCAGCCAACCAATAAGAATCTGCTACTCATTCTCCTTTGCATCCAGAGGATAATTTTATTGTTGAGTTGCTCTGCCTTATTCATGGAATTTTATGTGGCCTTACACTTGCAGTGCCCCCATGTTTTTTCACTATTTCTCTCTCCCCTTTGATTACTGTGGAAAGTTTTTTGAGGTGAAAAAAGAAGTAGTGCTAGGAAGTGCCTACCTGGAAGTACCCAAGACTTATGTTTTCACACCTCTCTGATAATAATAATCTTAGAACTTCAGAGCTGGATCACTGAGGCTAGCCCATATCAAAGATGCACAGTGGGGAATCAAACTCCCAACTTCTGTACATAAACCACTGAGCTACCCAGCAGTTCAATGAGTAGTTGATGGTCAGAATAAAAAGAGACCAACGATAGGCAAAGTAAAGTGGCAAAATTCAAATTTCTTTACAGCAATGCATTTTGAGAACTGGCTTGCTGTTGCGAACATGTTCCTAAAACGACCAAGCCAAAACAACTCATTGCCAAATTAATACATTTTTTTAAAAAAAGAACAAATGTATGTACTTGTACCTGCTCTGTAATGGCCTACATACATTCCACAGATTTCAGTGGGTTTATATCTCATGCACATTTAGGAGGAAATACATTCCACTAATATAATGGGCTTTACTTTTGAATAGATGTACATTCAATCACAGTGCGTTTGTGAATGCTTGTAGGTCCAGGGTTTTTGATTATTATTAATTGGCTTTCTCTAGTGTTTAGGGGAAGAAATGAAAGAACAGGTGCACTTTTGCACACTAGCCACAAAGGAGGAATTTACTCTAGGGCTATGGAGCTGCAAATGAAACCATGGTCTGAGTTCTTTCACATTTTATATGAAGCTCTGACAGAGACTCAGATAGTTTCTGCAATTCTCAAGTTACTTGGCGTTGGTTTTCTTCTGCAGGGAAAGTGTATTTGTTTAGTGGGAGGTTTTTTGATAAATGGTTCTTGGGATGAGTTATAAAAGATATTCTCAAAAATATTAGACATAATTTGAATAAGGAATTATGTAGATCATGCTCTGCAATCTGAAACCCACAAGTGAAAAAAGCCTAAATTTGGTGTTCCTTGTGTAGCAGCTTGTACTCAAGCACTGGAATCAGAGGGCCAAGAAAATCCAGGAAAAGGCCTCCCCACTCCTAGATGTTTATATTTTTCAAAGCTGGGATTCATTCTTGATAAACATAATAGAGGAAAAAGTAAAAATGCCTTTTTTGGCGCAGGGCTATAACTTAAGATTTCCTTTTCAGTTCAAAGGAAGAGGGTTCTGTGCAAGAATGGATCAAAGGGCTTCCCTGCTGTTAATATAATACTCATCATGTCTGCATGTTGTCCTACGAATCATTGCATGATGGGGAAAAACAAACAATTGGATTCAGCACATTTGCCATGACATCTAAGAGGCAAAGCAGGTGTTGATTCTGTAGCATAATTCTTGCTTGTTGCCTTCATTTTGCTTCTCTCAAAATAGAGGCCAGCACATGTCCACATTCAGGATTGCACTTCTGGAAGTTAATAGCTTGATGAAGATCGTTGCCCAGGCAGATTACACTGATTGCTGTATGAAATATGGGGGCTGGAACAAGCATCAGGCCAGCTTTTGTATTTGGACTTGTGTGGAATTCTGCAAAGTGGCCTGGGAGTGTGAGGCAGTTCCTGTACTATGGATACCAGCCTTTATCATCATTTGTAGGGTGGGCTCCATTGGATCTGTGGGGTCCTTTCCCCTCTCAGTGCTTTGATCTTCCCAGTGATACACTGAATGAGTAAACTGGATTTAAAATATGCTTTGCCTCCTGTTCTTGCCTCGACCTGCGGGGGGAAAAGAAGAAACTTTTAAGGGTCTTTTAAATGTTCTGAAAACCGGGACCTAAATCCACATTGCTTGGAAGAATATATAGAAAAAAGGATGTTCCACAGAAGTTCCATTACAACTCCCAGAATCCCCAACCAGCCCAGCTGCTTAGGCTTGCTAGGGAATCTGGAAGATGTAGTCCAAAAATAACTTTTTCACACTCCTATAGGTTCTGGAGGCACAGAAAAATAAGGCCTCACTGTGCAGGGATATAATTTTGCCAGTGACTGAACTACCCTCCCTGACAAGTTTTATGTCACTAATTCACTGAAATTTTGAGCTGTGATGATAGCCTAATGCAGCTGAAATCCAAGCGCTTCATCCACCTCATTTACCAGAATCACCAGCTCAGGCACAGACATCAACAACTGAGGAAACATGTCACCTGAGCTTCTGGTCTGTGGATGTGGTCTAATATTTGCTACTTCTTGACACTTGGATAGCCAATACATATTTGTTTAGGAGTACAAATAATGCCTCATCACAGCAATGTGAGACAGAGACTCCCAGATACCATCTTGCCAAACACGTTACTCCAGATTTAGATGATGATACCTTGAGCATCATTAAGGGATGCTGTCCAGATTCCAGAATTTCTTGTACAGCTGCCTTAATGACTCAGAGCAAAGTAGGGCCAAAAGGGCACTTCAAACTGACTATTAAAATCCTTGGATGTTTATTAGTATAATTATTTTGGACTGTCTTTGCAAATAGGCTAAGTACTAGGTTAAGGTATCATGCAAGAGTGGGTAGCCAGTTAAGCACTAAGATAGGGAAGACACAAATAGCTAAGACACAGCTTAATTCTTGTTATTTGTGCAAAATTCTTTTATAAGTGCCCAGAAGATTTACTATCCATGAAGAATTCAGTTTTAAACACTGATGCCCTAGGTGGCACTGTTTCTTGCAGCTACCTAGGAGAAACAATTGCCCCTAACAAAGGGCTTTTCAGCCTTGAAAATATAGGAACCCCAAACAATGGCTTTAATAAATCATCTCTGCCCTGCAACTGTCTTTTGTGCATCACGCTCTTCTGTGGCTCCCAGTATCTACCCTGCCACATAGTAACATGCCTCCGTTTCCAAGAACAGGAGAGAGAAAAACAAAAATTTCTGTGACAAGACCGGGCAAAATTTGAAGGCCAGGTTGCAGAAAACAAACAAACATGAACAATTGCTAATTTTTGTTGTGGATTTTTCGGGCTCTTTGTCCGTGTTCTGAAGGTTGTTGTTCCTAACGTTTCGCCAGTCTCTGTGGCCGGCAGTGCTGTCCTCTGAAGATGCCGGCCACAGAGACTGGCGAAACGTTAGGAAGAACAACCTTCAGAACATGGTCAAAGAGCCCGAAAAACCCACAACAACCATTAGATCCCGGCTGTGAAAGCCATCGTGAATAAATTGCTAATTTGTGTAACATCTGTTGAATGCAAAATATGAAAATTCTGGCTGGACTGGCTAAATTGCCTACTTCTTTTGTTCTCACAGAACTGTGACCCTGGGCCTCACATATAAAGAAGAGTGCTGATGGATACTTGGAGAACAGGAAAAAAAGCTATGTAGCCTCATCCTCATCCTCTGAAAGTTCTGCAGTGCTTTTTTAAAAGGAGAGACGATAACAACAGTTGCTAGAAAGTGTTCACTAAACATTACAAGGCAGGGAGGTATCTTGATGTTTATTAGCCAAAGGCAGCTAGGTCACACATGTCACCACACACTACAGCCTAATTAAATGTATAAGAACATTCTTTCATTGACATGTTGTTCCCAGTAACTCAAATGCTCTTAAAATTAGGTAAACCAACATTACCCAGGATCTGGAGGTCATAATTTGTAGGTCAACCAGAATCTAGGCAATGTGGTAAGGCTTACCATCCATGAAAGAATCAGGAACACTCCAGCAAGATATGCTTAAGAGTGGAAGCAGAAGACTACAAGTGTGTGGAAATGGACAAGATAAAGAAATTCCATTTTTTTCCTTTTTGATGTATTTCCAACATGTCATTGGGACAGAGGAGGGGTGGCTTATTGGAGTCCTTTTATGGTTTTTGCTATGGATTAGAAGAGTTTGTTCTTCTTTTGCTGCCAATCCCCCCAGTAAATGGCTAAATTGCCCTGATAACCTCATAATGGTTTTTGAATTGCTTTTTTTCCTTTCTATTTATCTCCCAGCTTTCTTTCTCCAACAAACGTAAAACTGCATGTGCACATCTTCACTAAAACTCTGTGTAGGTCAGAATGAGAAAGAGAGATTAGTCCAAGATAAGCCAGAGGGTTTCACAAACCAGAATTTGTCATGTCCCAGTCTGACATGCTAACTGCGATACCACAGAATAACAGTAGTAACAACATTCCTGAACAGCAGTGTTCCATGATATCAAATTTTGCTGTGGTTTCCAGCTATGTCCTGAGGAAACAATACATTTCTTCAAGGGCTTTGAGCCCACTTTTCCACAAAGGAAACAGGCACCTACTTGAGTGCTGATAGCTTGAGCCTCGATAGCCAGGATCCTTTTGGAGCTGTATTTCCTTCAGAGAAAAGATGGAGGCAGCTGCAGATGGTGAAACAAAGAGGAGAGCAAGATTGACAGTGAACTCAAAATTACAATTACTACAGAGAATTAAGACAGAAGTGGATGCATATGAAGAGATTCCATAGTTCAGACTGAAAAAGACTGCATTTACCTGGAATGCATTTCTCACAGATAATCCTCCATTTTGATCCTATGGACATCAGGGACAGATTCCCACATAGGAGCACGTAGGTGTCATTTTATTAGTTTCACAGGTATCTGTTGGATGCTGCCTACATTTTTAGTGTGGTGACCACAATGCCTTTTATCTTCTTTCTGTGCTGTTTTGCAAAGTCAAGCATGCTGTGCCATTTCAGCTACCTGGGTTCTGTTTTTCCCTGCCCCATTTCTTCATTTTTGAAAGCTGTGTGCTTTCTATCTCTAAAAATAAAATGCACATCTCTCCTCAAAGGGAAAAATCCCTTAAGAACAACAAAGTGCAGTGAACTCTCTCGCAACCAAACAGAGCACTTGCTTTTCCAGCAGTTACTGTGGCCAGCACTTGCAAAAATTTGAAGAGAAGTAGCTTGACATAATCAGTGAGCAGTGACATTAAACTTTGGATTGATTACACTTCTTCTGTACCCTCTCCAGCCCCACAAACAACCTGCATGACACAGGAAGCTTCCAAATACAGCTTTTATTGTGGAATTTCCCAGCTTCAAACATGGAATGTTATGAGAGGCCTATTCCTAACCTTCTGTGTTTCCTTATCACTACTGCTTTCTTTTCCTAACAGCAAAACATGTTTAAGAGAGAAAGTTGGGATAAAAATACAATGTCTTGTGACTGGCAGTGCTAGGACATGTCTGTCTCAAGGCACCTATAAATTCACAACCAATCTTGCCAGACATTTCCTAAAATGCAGTATCTCAATTGTGTAGATGAAGAGATGAAGTAAAAATCTGGATACACTAAAATCCTGCAATATATCAGGATTTCCACTTCTATTCCCTTGATGGAAATAGGATTCTTTGGAGTGTTCACAGCCTTCCCCTTTTTACTATGGTGTACTATGTACGAGTACTCCAACTGGCCACTTACTCTCAGGAAGAAGATGCACTCGTTCACCTAGGGCCATAAAATAAGGGTGTCGCAGGGCTGACTCAGCAGTAATGCGTTTTTTGGCTTCGTACTAAAAAGGAGAGAGAGTGAGAGAGTAAATATTGGTTACATATAGAGATGTATATGGGGATTTACTTAGCAGCCAATCTCAGTTTGTTTGTTTGTTTGTTTTTATACCACCCATCTGGCTGCCAAGGCCACTCTGGCAGGTTTACAAAAACAGAATAAAACAATAACATAAAAAACAAAAATAATCAGCAATGACCAAGCAAAATATAAGCGCTACTAAAACAAACTACACTAAAAAGTCATATAAAAGAAGCATATTAAAGTGAAATAAAGGCATGGTGGAGAGTTGAATGTTAGTTATTAAAAACACTACTGTATCAGGCGAATTTCAGGTGGGAGACTGTTCCACAGTCTCCCAACTGCCGAGAAGGCCCAGTTTCTGGTTGTCATTTTTTGGGCCTCTCTCGGGGTCAGAGCTCTCAATCGTCCAGCCTGGGAAGATCTTACAGGACAGGCAGATCTGATTGGAAGGAGGCGTTCTTCTAAATCTCAAGGTCCTAAACCACTTACGCCTCTTCATACAGTATATGTAGATGTGTGCATAAGCTCTGCAAACTCTTCATTATGTGCGTATGCTCCCCAAAATAGGAGGTGCAGGAAGGAAGGAATATTCAGACAAAACCAGAGGATATTACACAGTTTTCTGGTTTCTACCTGGATTCTGCCACCAGTTATGATACTATAGCTCTCAGAATCCCAGTTCAGGATAGATGCTATGTGGCTTATTCCTTGTGCTTTTTGTTCAAGTGTATAATCCTATGCAGATTACTTAGAAACAAGCTCCACTTCATTCAGCAGGAATTATGCCTAGGACAAATTAGATTGCAACTGGATGCTCCTTAATGGGATGGAAATAAATACAAGCATCATCATATAGTTTGGACTGTCACCATGGGTACACACAAATGGGTATACAACAAATACACGTTTATGATCTCTGTGATTAGGAAACAAATAAGTTATGAAGTACATTTGAAAATATATATTATTTATAGGAAGCAATGCCAGTAATAGAAGGTGGTATGGCAGAAGCATTTCTTGGCTTCCTCTCAAAAAGAACCTGAGTCAAGTGTTCCCATCCCACCCTCCTATTCACCAAGAGAAAAACAACAATACCTGAGAAAAGCTACATTTTGTACTTTATAGGTTTTGGCTCAGCTAGACGAGGTCAAGCAGCTGCTACAGAGCAGAACCGCCGTCTCCTAGTAAAGCCAGAACTGGAGCAAAAGAATCTTGGCAGAGAAGTTAGGGCAACCACCAGAAGAATAAAAAATGCCCTTGAGTTCAATTGATTTAGATTTAGGAGACTGGGTAAGATTAATGACTAGATTTAAAATGGGAAAACCTGTTCTATGGTTCCCATTATGATGAGACAGTCCATACTTCCTTCCTCATATCTTTTCCTGAGAACTAGTTTACATATTAATTTAGACTTTGGGCATTCCTGTGCTTTCAAAGCTGAATTTCACCCTACATATCATGGCAGCTGCAAAAGGTTAGATCCATGACCTCCTGACGGAAGCTGAACGGTTATTTTTCGCGAGCCCCATACAGGCTGGTGGCTCATTGGGCTGATTTGTGGACCGGCAGGATTCCTGGCTCCTACATGGCCTACATGTGATAGTGCTGACTTGGGCTCCAGGCCATGCACTCCTCTTTACTAGTTCCTATGTCTTAATTATGTTGCTTCTACCTCCAATGTGTATGTGACTGAGATGATATAATTAAGACTGTGGTGTCAGGGTTGTGGTCCTGGAACTCAAATCAAGCCTACTGCTGCACCCTCACCCCATGTCACATGCAAGCAATTTGCTTGCTAGCAAATAGCTCAGTAGTAGAGTTGATCTGAACTCTAGACTGCATGTATGAACTTGCCAACCTGTTTATCTTAATTATGCTGGCCTTGCCCTTGATACACGCATGGAAGCCAAATTTGAGCGCTACCTAGTGGGAACCTCAGTTATAACTAATAACTAAATAAGAGCCATAGTACTACTCCATAAGACAGCACAGGGCTATCATTAAGAAGAAGTGAATCTTGTGCAAGAGTTACCTTAGTTCTTCAGGGTTTACTTGAATTGAAGTTTGTATCTTGGGGTACATTAAACAGGCTGAGACAATATGCATTGTCTTTTTCTACATTTTTTCCTTTAAGCTGATGACATCATGGAGTAAATAGCACCAAAACATGTTTTCATGTTTTGGTGCTCCCTCCTCCAAAGTTGCCTTGGCATGGGTTGCAGTCTTTCCATTAACTCACCTGTATCCCCTCTTTCCAAATCCATTTAATCCATGCAGAATTACAAGAATGCTTCTTCCATGTACCAGCCATTTTCAGGTTTCCACCCACTCCCCAGAGTTTTTATCAGGCTTTATTTCTCACTGGACCCTACCTGGGAACCAGTTTCACTCTTCTTCAACTGAAAGTTGCCCACCTTATAATATGCATTCTATCCCTCCATTACTTTGGGCTTCCTTACTGTACGGACAATCATTGGTAAGGTGATATGAGATTTCAAGAATTTTTGACTTTCAAGATACTGTGACATCAACAATATCAAAGGAACGGGGCCAACCGCTAATGAAGATGGAATAAGATGAGATGGTTTGTGTTTACTTCTAGCTTTGGCGCTGACATTTATAATGCTTTTTATGGCTGCTGTTCATTCCTTACAGTATGTCTTGTTATTTATAGTTGTGCTTTTGATGTTATTTTTGCTGTTGTAAACCAACCCTAGCTTCCCAGAAAAATGGCACAGAACTATTTTAATTTTTCAAAAGGGGGTAAGTTGACAACTATTGTTTACACTGGCAAATCTAAGAGATACATGCTTTGATGTACCATTTCACTCATCTTTTTATGGTGCACTATGGGAGTAACAGGAAAGCAAGGGGGCTGAAATTGCAACTTGCTTGGAAAATCATTTGCATCCTGCAGGGATGAGGAACCATAATTCCTGACCACTGGGTTGGAAGTCCAAGCACCTCTGGCACCAAAACCAATTGTTATTTGCAGCTAGAGTAGACCCACTGAATCAACAACCGAATGCTAATACTAAAGTAAATCCCACAAAGTACATCCCAATGAGTCTACTCAATTGGCAGAAATGTTTGAAATGCACACAGCAGTAGTGAAGTAATAGATGAACTGTGACATCTTTTCTATCTAGCCTAGCAACTAAGATCACTTACCAAAAGGAGACTCATTAACAGGTCGATTCCTTCTGTGTCCAGCCTGAAAGAGAAGAAAGCATCCTACATTGTCTGAGATACTCTGAAGGCATTTGATTATTTTTAGGAGCAGCACACTTGGAGATCTGAATTCTTTAGAAGTTCACTTCCCTATGCATCCCAGAAGAGCCAGCCTGGGTGGCCTTGGACAAGCTGCACAGTCCCAGGGTGTCCCCTAATTATTACTGTTTAGAAAAGAAATGGTTTACAACTGGCTGTTTAAGTTACTTCTTGGCACAGAGGCAGCCTTTATATGAGATGGTGTTACACTGATGCCACCTAGTGGCACCTCCAGAAAGATTCTGCACATAGAGAATGGAAAGACATTTATGGATTCTTTTCTGAAACAAAGGGCATATTAGGACAGAAGAAAAACTTAATCACAAGCAAATTGTTGACATTATTCTTTATCACTTCATTTACTCCCTCTATCCCTTTTTCTGTACCAGGATTGAGGCTTGTTTCCCCTTCCAGTCTTCTCCAACTGCAGCCCATTATAAATTAGAGCAGCCTATCCTGCAAAGGTATTGTAGGACTTCTGTGTTACCTTGGCACATGATTTATCAAGGGCTGGGCTCGATACTGTGTGAAATTATATGCCTTGAATTCCTCATTGGATGTGATGCCAGGCCACGATTCTTCTGTAGGAGTTCCTGTGAGAAGGAAGGAAGATTTTGATCCATCAATCAGGGATGGGTACGTTTACTTTATCCACCTGAGGAATAACAAGATGGAATCCAGTGTCTGGCTCTTGAAAATCTCAGCCTTAGCTAAGCACATAAAAAGAACTCACCCATATATCACTATTCAGTATCACTTAAGTTTCTCAGTGTCTGGCTCTTGAAAATCTCAGCCTTAGCTAAGCACATGAAAAGAACTCACCCATATATCCGTATCCAGTATCACTTACGTTTCTTATGGTGTAAGGGAACAACTGGAAGTGCATTTGCTACCTGGTTGTTTAAGAGACTCAAAAACCAAGTGCAGATTCACTGAGCTGTTGGAACTCAAAAAGAAGCCTTGCCAATGGCTTACGAAGGGCAGTGCCATCCAAGCTGATTGGCACTGACTCTAGATGTACTCAGCCATGTTACCTCAGATACTTTAAACTGCATACTATGTCTATGTCAAACATTGCAGCCACGAAGGACATGATCTACCATTAAACTATTGTCTGTATCATACTCTGGGACTGGGATTGACCCACTTGGACTCTAGACGTACTCAGCCCTGTTACCTCAGATACTTTAAACTGCATACTATGTCTAAAGGACATGATCTACCATTAAACTATTCTCTGTATCATACTTTGGGCCTGGGATTTCAATGACCCACTTGCTTCACCACTATTAATGAGAACTGGGAAATCAGGGTCACTCCAGATATCAATGAAAACCCAGGCCCCTACCCAGCCTAGCTAGTGATGGGGGTGGAGATTCAGCAACAAAGGGAGATCCAAAATTTCCCTATTTCTGCTGAAACGCAATACACACCTGGCTATCTTTTTTAAACTTATACTCCAATATCTATGTTCTTTCTTCTGCTCTTTCTCTCACTTGCTTGTGTCTTCTCCCATTGCAAAACAAAATCCACTATGTTTTTTTTGGAAAATATTGCTTGCAGAGTTATTTACACAAAGGCACATTTTTGTGAAGTAAAATCTAAAGGGAGAATCTGTATTGCCTTGATAGGTAAAGGTTCCCCTTTACAATTTGTCCAGTTGTGTCCGACTCTAGGGGGCAGTGCTCATCTCTGTTTCCAACCCATAGAGCTAGCATTTGTCCAAAGACAATCTTCCATGGTCACGTGGCCAGCACGACTAGACACGGAACACCCTTACCTTCCCATTGTGGTGGTACCTATTTATCTACTCGCATTTTGCATTTTACTGAACTATATATTGGGCAATGCTCCATATATTATATTCTATCTTCTGCCAAAGAGACCCACTGGTTTTCTATAGCTGTTTAACCATTTATTGTGCTCTTTGTATCTTCCACTCTCCCCATCCTCCTTCCAAGCCCATATTAAGAGACAGAGAATATGGGGAACTCACCGAGCATTCTGAATATTAAATGCAGTTCCTCTTTCACAGTAGATCCTGGGAACATGGGGCGTCCTGTGACCATTTCATAGTGTATGCAACCCACACCCCTAAAAGGAAGATTGCTTATGAAGCACAGTAGACCAAAAAGAAATACAAGATACAAATGAAGTAATCATGTCCAGGTTTGATCTCTCTCTTGGTTTGCTCTTTGAAGAGAAAGGAGAATGGCCACAGTGATTTCTGCTTGCTGAGCTACAACAGCAGAAGACAACACAAGATGCCAGAATTGTTTGCTCTCATATCTTCTCCCACTTAGTGATCAGCAGAGAAAAGAAGAGGAAGCTTCCAAGAACAGGAAGGACAAAGCCATGCCAACCTCTTTAATCTCCTCTGTCTTCAAACCAGGGCAAGGGAACACCTGGCTTCCAGATTCTGCTGGACTCTTAAATTCCATCATTCCCAGTCAGCATTGACAATGATCAAGGGAATCAAGCAGGTGTAGTGCAACAACATCTGGAGGAATGCAGGTTCCCCACCCCATGCTCTATGGCATCAACATCTGTGTCATTTTCATAGCATGGGTTCCAGAAGCAAATCAGACTAGGGCTTAATGCAACTGCCTTCGAGTAAGGGAAAAAAAGTATCAGAGTGTGGTGAACTATTGTACCCACCCAAGCACAGACCCTCGACTCACCACATGTCAATGGGAGTGGAGTATTCTGTGGATCCTAGGAGGACATCAGGAGGCCGGTACCACAATGTGACCACTTCATTGGAATATGTTTTTGTTGGGACAGACTTGGCTCTGGCTAGACCTAAGGGTGGAAGGGATTCCAGTGAAATACAAGCCTGGGATTTGCTACTACCAGTTTCATCCTAACTATGATCAGTATTAGGCTCTTACCTGTATCTAGGAACTCTGGGAAGCACTACCATTTCCCGAGGAGTTCCTAATTAACTTGACTTTTCAGGTCTAGAGAAAGTTGGTGGGTGCATGAGACTGGGACTGCCGAATTCAGGATCTAACCTCTCTCTGTATGTTCTGTGCCATCAAGTCGGAACCAACTCACAGTGACCCTAATAGAGCTTTGAAGGAAAGTGAGGTATTTAAGGGCTGGTTTTACCAGTTCTACTCCCTTAGTGAGTTTCCATGGCCAAGTGGGAATTCAAACCCTGTTCTCCAGAGTCCTAGTCCATTACTTTATCCACTACAACATATTGGGAATCCAGTGGGGAATCTAGTCTCTAATAAGCCACAAAACTTACTAAGTGACCATGAACCAGTCAGTCTCTCCAGGTGGATCACAAGATCATTGTGAGTGGGGAGGAGGAGAATTGAACTCAGTGCCTTGAGCTTGCTAGAGTTAAAATGGGATATAAATGTGACCAATGAATAAAGTAATCAATGACAAGGTATTTGGATTGTGTTTGTAAATCCCAGGGGAAAAACAGCTTTCTGGTTGCAAAAGATTCTTGTAAGTTCCATCCCTGTTGTTGAATTTGTGAGTGAGTTACAGCAGAAGCTGAAGGTTGTTCAAGAGGCAGCAAGAGAGAGCTTGGAAATGGATCAGAGCAAGCAAAAAACTTACCATGATGCAAAACTAGGCAATGTGATTTCAATACGGGCAATCAAGTGCTGGTGACCAATCTGAGGCTGAAGTTGTCACAGTCAGGTAATACAAATCTGATAAAAGCCCTGAGAAAACAGTAGCACTGGCTCCAGGTTGGACTGGAGAGGCTTCAGTGACTTCTCCTGAGCAAACTCACCCTCTCTTTAGCAATGCCATGATGACATTCTTTTGTCCCTTTTCTAATGGGCTTGAGTTACAAATCTGTGTAGAGGAGATACAATACAAGTGGCAGGGAATGCTGTTTTGTCTTCTCATGCCTTACTTTCTGTGTACTCAAACAGAGTAAGCAATTGCACAGTGACAGCAAGGCAGAGAGGATGGAGGGTCAGGAAACAACAGTGGTTCACAGGGAAATACTTGCAAGGTATCTGATAGAGATTTAACAATGCTGGCCCTGATAAGTAACTAGTAATCCAACATCAAGAGAAGATAAAAACAGCAGGTTAGACTTGAAAATACAAACTTAGAAGAACCTATTTCTTGACCTGCCAATTGTACAATACATATATGATTTGCGTATTGTGTTATGATCAGTAGAATGAAAATGTTCTGTTGAATGTAATCTCTCTGCTCTACAAACTATGCCTAAATGAAGATATGCAGCATATCTTTTTGCTAAGGTTTGCTCTGCATGCTAGCAAATACACAGGTGCAAAACCTTAGGATAAGACAGCAAAATAAGTCTTAAGCAGTGCAGATCTGTACATGTCTGTTCAAAATGAAGTTCTACTGCATTCCAGCAGGACTTATTTTCAGGTATGCAAGATTGCAGTTTAAAGATGCTTAGAAAAGATATTTCAAATGCTCTTGGAATCTACATAAATAGACAGCAAATTTTTAAAGTGCAACATTTGGAAAATGGCTTGTTTTGAAATGGTTTCTAAAAATCAGTTTCTTCGTGATACTGATATTCCAGTTAGCAACATGGATGTTTAGTAGAATATGGACACCTGAACAATGGCAGTAATGGAATTATTTCAATATATTTGGCTTACAATTTCTTCACTTTGAAAACTCAGGAGGACCTAAGCAATAGTATGGCGTTTTCCTATTTGACTGTTGCCAAGGCTTTCCTGAGGTTATATCTGCTACATTTCCCTAACTTACCAAAATCAGCAAGTTTCAGTTCCCCTCTTCCATTAATAAGCAGATTTTGTGGTTTGAGATCTCTGTGTAGGATCTTGAGCTGATGACAATAGGATAACCCTCGGAGCAACTGGAACATGAATATCTTGGAGCAGTCAGAAAAAAAAGGTAAGGGTGGTAGTTAGGGAAGGATTAAAATTACAACTGTGCTGAAAACATAGACTACTCTAGAAAACAGGGCATGAGAATTCATCTCAACCCCCAATCTGATTTAAAACCATATTTTCAACATAATTCTTCCTCCCCATCCTGTTATTGTGACCATCTTGCCAAAATATTCAGCTTGTATTTTCTTGATACTTTTTTCTTTCACTTGCAAGAGAATAGAAGGAAGAAAGATATTTATGATGGCTCAATTGAGATTCCTGGTACTGTTCAGAGATATATAACTAGATAAATAACAAATATACTTCTGATACAGTCCTTGCATGCAGCATGAATTTGCTTGGGGGCAAGACAAAGCGATAACCTACTGTATAGTCTTACAAGATAGAAAGCCACAGTAAAGGCTACTCCCTATACCCCTTTACTTTGTTTGCTCACCTTTACATTATGCATGCTCATCAGGTTCCCACAGTTATCCAGGTACTGCTTCAAGTCATTGTCCTGCAATAATAAGCATGTCCTGAGGGGCCTACATTGTCTTCAAGAACAAATCATCCATCATTTCTTTGGCATCAGAAAATAAAAGACAAATCATTACAGTATTTTCAAGATACCTGTTTTATTGCCTATGAAATGCACAGGTATGATTAAGTTGTTGCAATAGAGCCAAAGCCATTCCCATACAAAGTAATGCATCGATTGCAGTCATTGAACTAATACATCAATTCCAGAAAATTCATGTTTCCCTAGTACTGACACCATGTCTGGCTAGGAAAAGGTGATTATCTCCAATCAATACAGACACACACAATTTCTGTTGATGTTTAAGGGCAATTACTTAGGAGTAAGCACCGTCAAACACAACGGGATCTTGATAAACATGCACCAAATTTTATTAGTGGCTTGTCATGTGGTGTATGGATAAGGAATTATTGTGGGATGATACAACTTTTGCAGAATTCTACATGAATGATATTTTTTGTATAGATACTGGCAATTGCCAGTAGGACAGGAAACCCATAGACAGCATTGGTCCCAAGCTATATGAGAAGTGCAGATGAGGCTGAAATTGCTGAGCCATCCAGTCTCAGCATAACAAAGAAGTCTTCAGACTCACCAGATATTCAAAGACAAGAGTAAGTGAGGATTTTGTGTGGATGATATCATGGAGCGTCACAATGTTTGCGTGCTTCAGGTTCTTCAGTAAGGAAACTGCCAAGACAAAGGGCCAACAGCATTTGTCATGGGGATATCTAATGCACTGGAAAGTTCAGAGAGAAACTGCTGTGTTAACTTATAAGCATTTATGACCAAGGCAGGAAAAATGTATGTGTGGACAGAGCTTCCTAGTGTTTCCATAATTAAGCTATGGGAGCAACAAAACCTTATTCCTTACCCTCTCGTATAGCTGTGCAAGGGGCTCCTTCTTCATGCTCCAACCGTATTTCCTTCAGGGCAACCAGGTTCTTGGTGAGCTTGCTGCGCCCTTTAAAGACAGTGGCATAGGTGCCCTGGAAAGAAAGAAGCAAGAGAAAGTCAACAGCTAACAAATGCAGCATCTCTTTCTTTCATTATTACTCTGAACAGCATTATTCTGGGTTCGTTGAAATAGACTAAACCCCTGAATAACCATCCTCGTTTTGCTCTGCTCCACTCTTCTTAAAAAAGAAAATCTACAGAAATGCTTGATCCAATTTAAAATTGTATTTTTTCTGCTTGGTTTTTAAAAAATTGTTGGATGTTTATCTAATACTAACTGAACTGCATAAAATGATCTCAAATTCATGATTTTGAAGTCCATTTTAATATGGAAGATTTAGTGTGGGAAGCACATGCCTAGTTTCCATGCTCTAGGACATGCTCTATCTTGCCTAGGCAGATATATTTGAAGATCATGTTTAAATGTCTTCTATCAAGTTCTACAACACAACAAACAAAAGGTGGCTCACACAGTGGATGACAACAGTCCAATCACAAAGATGCAATATAAACTTCAAATGCATTAGGGATACAAAATTACAATGATTCATGTTATTCTTACCTCCCCAAGCTTCTCCAGTTTAACATAGGTTTCCATCTTACCAAACCCAATGTCTGACTGTGATAAAGAAGAAAAAAAAGAAGAATCAGTACATCTGTATCTGCTCAGAAATAAACACTATTGAGTTCAACAGCAGCCGGCCTGATGATCACATTGTGTAAAGGGACTCTTGTTTCTAGCAAACATGGTGGGAAATAAAAGAAGTAGGAGTCTTTGAACTCAGAGCTAAGCACATTTGGCTCACTATCAGCATGGAAGTAACTTGTTTTGAAATTCTGGGGCAATTCTCACTCACTCTTACACCAGGGATGAAATTCTGGGGCAATTCTCACTCACTCTTACCCCAGGGATGAGGACTTTTCCCCCCCTCCAAATAGTATTTTATTTAGATTGTTTTTCCTACAAACAAACAAAAAATCTCTACCAACCCTACACAAAAAACAAACAAACAAACAAACAAACAGAGACAGTACACCTAAATAAAAAAAATACAAACAGACAAACCCCCAAATATATAGGCAGGGGGAAAGTCAAAACCTTGCAGTTGGGGTGGGTGAGTTTGTTTTTGTTTTTTTTGTTTGTTTTTTTGTTATATTTACTTTAGGATGAATTTAGGCATGTATAAATTTTGCAACTCATTACCTTTTATAAGGTATGCAGAGTTGCTTCTGTGGTTGCAAACATAGGAGGAATGTCATAATTAGGAGCCTGCACACACACACACACACACACACACACCACTTGTATAGCTCAAGATTTTTTTTGTCAGTTCCTTTCTGAACAAACAAACTCATCAGCCAGCCTCCGGACTCTCTCTCTTTCTCTTTCTCTCTCTGAAAAACCTATCTTCACTTCTTATATTTCCAATGGCTTTTTCTACAGACAGTTCCCCATCAGGCTGTAGTATGGTTCAACTGAAGCACAAGTTTCAACTGTTGGTGTCTGAAGTGATTCTTCCCTGTGCTTGTATAAGATCTTCGGATCCAAGCTTACAGTTGACCCAGAACTCGAGGTAACTAGATTAGTTCCACACTCTTTCCACGAATACATTGTATGATTCCTAAAGAAATAGGCAACCATCCTTAGCCTCTCATTGGTTCCATGCTCATTTAATATGATGAAGCTACACATACATGTTTAAAATGCTCTCTTCTTAGATTGTACTACTCTGTGAACACCCTAGTGTCTCACCCTAGCACACAGCATTTGCAAACATGAGTGAGTCAGAGGATTAATCTTTTTACAGTGGTAAGAAGCTTTCAAGGGTAGTACAGTATTAAGGTTACCAAGGTGTGTTCTAAGCATATTTATTATTCAACACTAGGTGGTAGTAAAAGGACAAGTGTCTTCACAGCCAAGGAGAAAAGAGGTTTAAGGTATATTTTCAGCTTAGCAAGGAAGATTTCTGATTTTTTACATTAACATACCTGAAGAGGACTTTTCACCTCTGGGGCAGAGAAGAGACTGGCAATGCTTCTATCTAAAGCACTATAGAAGGATTAATCAAACTACATTTTAGCTCAAGATTCCAGTTTTTCCCCCCTAAAATCCAGATTATAGGTATTAGGGATAGCAGGAGTTTCTAGCCATGGTGTTTTAGAACTACTTTACAACCTAAACACGCAATTGTTGAAGGCTACAGAGAGAAGGATAGATCCTGCTTTTGGTAAAAGAACAGCAGGGTCAGTGGGAAGCACAGCTATCTGCTTAGCACACAATGTGATTTGCCAGACTCCAAGATTTTTCACTTAGAAGCATGTCTCACTATTTCAAAAGAATCCAATTCTGATATACCTCTTTTCACAGCAAGGCTAAGGCTGCTATCGTACTTCTAAGTAAAGCATGTTACTGGACTATAATGTAGTTTTAGTCAATCAGAAAAGCTACATGCTCTCCACGTAGAAGGAAAACAGACTCCACTTCTTGCTTCCAGTTCAGGAAGGATCTGTACCTAAGCCTCTTCAAGAACACAGGGCTTATTGGTCTTCTAAGCTGGCAGCTCACAAGACACTGAGCTGAAATGCACCTTATTAGTGTACTTACGTTATGATAACTCTTAACACTGCATACTCCTACTAAAACTACAAAGTTAACCATACACAAACGCCACAAGCATGTGATGTATTGCACTAGGGAAGAGATAATGGAATGGAGTGTCATGGAAAAGAGTGAAGTTGGCCTGTATAGAATATGGAAGATGAGAACAAGCATGACAGTGAAATAAACCGCTTCTCATTTTTCAGAAGTGAAAATTCTTCCATTTTTGTGAAAATGGGAATAAAGCTACAGGCAAAGTAAAGGAGCCTGAATGTGACCAGATGTCCCACAGATATAATGGTGTTACATTTGTGAGCTGAAAGGGAACATACATTGCTAATTTATGAGGTTATTAATATTTATGGAACAGTTGCTTCAAATGCATATATTTTATTCAGGAGACAGACAGAAGAAGCAGTAGAAGTAAATGGAAATGCCTTAAATATGTTTCACTCCCCCCCCACCCGAGCATTCAGAATTCTAATCGCAGATCTTGTTAGAAAAAATAAAGTTACTTTTTAAACTCAGCAGTTACACCAATAAATTGGGATTATTACACCAACAATTTCCAACATAATTTCATTAATGAAGGTTTTTCCCCAACCATGGGTGGGTCAATTTCATTCCTAATGTGAGCAGGTGTGTGAGAGTGAGCTCATGTTGGGTTGTATGGAGCCATATTTCCTTGAGTTCTGCTAAAGAGTAAGACTCACAAGTGATGCTCTTCGAGATATCCTGCTATGAGTCTTCAAGATTTCTGGACTTTCCATCTCTAATTTCTGGAGGAACTCTGGAGGTGGCCGAATATCCATGGGTAGAGAGAGGCGCTTGCTAACATCCTGGGGAGAAAAATAGTACAGAGTTAGTTTGTAAGGTCTCTATTTGAGATGGCCAGATGCACAAGAGGGCAAGAGTCCCACACCTTAAATAGATACAGAGAAGAAAATATTTCAGCTGCTGTAATACTGTCCTGCATGGTACATCAGGTGACATTTCCTCTTCTATACAGATTTTTCCATAATTAAAGGGAAGGAAAAAGAAGTACATTTAAAGTCACATTCATTTCTTTTGGATATTGTTTGTTTTGATGCTGCAAACTTATGTTCATCAATCAAACAGAGGTAGGGTGAGCTCAGTTTCAGTTTTAGACAAAGGGTGCATGCATGTATGTCTAAAATGTGTGAATTCAGACATTTGGTTTCATTCAATGTATGTTGTTTTGTGCCATCTAGTCACTTCTGACTTATGGCAACTCTACAAATTGACCCTGCAAGGGTCCTATTGTTAACAATAGGTCCTGCTCAGGTCTTGCTAACTAAAGGCAGTGGTTTCCTTTATTGAGTCTTTCCATCTTATATTGGGTCTTCCTCCTTTCCCGCTGACATCAAATATACAAATACTAAAAAAGATGAAACAGATACCACCACTAAAGGAGAGTAAGCAAAAGCAACACCAAAATCGCATCCAAAGCACTAAGGCACAATATTCTATTTAAAATATCCCACTCAGGCAGCCTATTGTTAAGGGAAAGCTTGCCTAAAGAGAAAGGTCTTTGCCTGCTTGTGGATGGATTGCAAAAATGGGGCCAGCCTGGTCTCCTGTGGAAGGGAGTTCCAAAGTCTGGGAGCAGCAAAAGACAAGGCCCTCTTCCATGTTTCTGCCAAATGCACCTGTGAGGGTGATGGGACTGAGAGAAAGGCCTCTCCTGATGATCTTAATGGTCGAGCAGGCTCATAAAGGGAGATGCGGTCCTTGAGATAGCTTGGACCCAAGGTGTTTAGGGCTTCATGGATTAAAGCCAGCACTTTGAATTGTGCCCAGAAACAGAAATGCAGCAGTCACTGTTGCTTTTATGGAGTCACTGTGACTTCTACAGAAATCTTAGGCTTGATTTGATCTGGGACCCATTTGTCTTTCTGAAAGTCCATGGTATCTGTAAAGCTCTTTTTCTACACTATGTTTCAAATGAATCAATTTTCCTCCCTTTGGCTTTCTTTAGAGCCCACCATTCACGCCTGTACATAATAATCAGGAATACTGTAGCATGGAAGATCTTAGCCTTTGTCTTCACTGATACATTTTTACACATATTTAATAATTTTAATTTTTTCATTGTGAACATTTCAGTTATGTAATTCTTCTGCAGTTATGAGTTTTGACTTATTAACATTCAACTCCAATCCTGCTTCTGGTCCTTCTTTCCGGGACTGTTTGCAGTCATTGCCACTTTCTGTCAACAGTACAGTGTCACCTGTGTATCTTAAATCACTGATGTTTCTTCTGCTATTGGCTTATTTCATCAACAGCAAATTCAGAGGCTTATGCTTGTATGGAGGCATTGTTCAAAAAACCCCACTACTTTATAAGTACAAGTCCTGATACAGAAAAGGAAAGAAGGTTTTAAATTGCAGTCGATCAACTCAGCTCAATAGGTCACCAGCCTCCACTGGCTCAAACATGCCTCCCTCAAACATAAGCACAAGCTCCCTACAGTCATATAATGTACATTGCAAACACTGGCTGTTCTAAGGAGGAATCTTGAAACAGGAACTCAGGCAGACGATTCCAAAGCTGCATTTTAGAAGCAAAACAGCCACAGTTTTGAAAGCTAACTAGATTAAGCTTACCTGGCTACAGCATTGAGATGTGTGGATTTTCTTCCAGGATTAACCACTCTGTGATCTCTTCAGAGTTGAAAAGTAGCAGGTGTTCATATTAAATAAAGTAAAATTTGTATTTCTACTTGCTCTTTTTGAGATCAGTAAACCACTCATTCTTGGACACAGATTTCTAATTGAGTTTCAGCCCCAAACTTCCAGCATTACTGGCCAATCTTATAATCTTATAATCATAATTTATTTATTAATTACATAGTAGTTCCCATGTTTTAAAGCTGCAAATTACCTCCATAGAAAAACGGCGTTGGTTTCCATTGCAGTAACGGACAGGTATTGGGGACTGGCCTTCTAAAGGCAAGACAGAACTCTGCTGTGTCTTGATATCCTTATTCAGATGACCCAGGTGGAGATGTCCTTGTGATGTGTCTGACAAGAAAAGAAGACCAAATAGCAACAAGTCAAGTGGCTGTACAGACTGGCAGTACTTGAGACAATCTGGGGTCATGGCTAAGATCAATAAAAAGCAACTTCTTCACTCTGTGTATTATTTAAGTACAGTCACATTCTGCAGACCAGAGCCCTGTTCCAGGCATTTATATACAGTGATGCCTTGCTTAACGAGCAATTCGTTTAACAATGAATCTGCATAGCGATTTGGTTTTTGCGATCGTAAAAGCGTTTGCATAACGATGTTTTAAATGGGAAAACATCGCTTTGCGATGATCGGTAAGTTGTTTCGCTTACCGATTATTGCATAACGATGTTTTTCCAACAGCTGATCAGCGGTTCCAAAATGGCCACCAGGTAAAGAAAATGGCCACCTGCTGTGTTTTCGTGCCCTTTCCTCGCTTACCGGACAGTGAAAATGGCAGCCGCATGGAAGATTTCCACATAATGGTGAGTTTTTTGCCCACAGGAACGCATTAAATGTGTCCTATGGGCTTTTTTGCCCTGCATAGCGATGAATCCACATAGCGACAATTTTTTCGGAACGGATTATCATCGCTATGCGGGGCACCACTGTACATAGTCACTGCAGCTAGAATTCTTTATGCCAAAAATTGGAAAGGTCTGATGGTACTGAAACAAGATCTTATAGAGAAGATACGGGAAACAGTAGAAATGGACATTTCATCAGAAGTGATGAAAGACTGTCCTCTACAAAAGGCAACTGAAAGATGGGACTTATTCTACAAATGGTTTGAGTCATCAGACATCGCTTGAAGAGCATGCATCAAAATGAGAACTTAAATCTGGAAGGCAGAAAATAGTAAAAAGAGCAATTTTGAATTTTGATATGGCAATATGTATAGAATGGATGTTACTATGTCATTGTTTCTCCTCTTCCCCTTAACCTCAATCCCTTTTTCCTTCCCGTTACCCTATGTTAAAAATAAAATATTAAAAATAAAAAAAACTTTCAGGCATTCAAATCAGAGCCTTTTTCCTTCCCGTTACCCTATGTTAAAAATAAAATATTAAAAATAAAAAAACCCTTTAAGGCATTCAAAAAACCGTTCCAGTCTTTAAACGGCCTCTTATTTTTAATCTCCAATCATGATTAGAAATAAAAGTAGAAGAGCCTATGTGTGCAGGATGGTGATCTTCCTTGGACCAGATTAGGCCTGTGGGCTGGAGATTCCCCTCCTTTGCTACAGTGTCTGGTCAGATATATTTCCTAGGAAAAGGCTGATAGAGGTTTGTTTGGAAATAATTCCCAGTGATATCTGAGTAACCATGTACAGATACAGGCTGTAAATTATTTAATTATTAATGTGCTCTATCATGAGCATTTAGCTCAATTAACATTTTTAACTTAATAGTGTAAATAATTAAGGAATGTGAATGTAACTGGGAATAGTTAAAACTGAGCAGGTAGTTTACATGTTGGTGTTACAACCGACAGCAGTGAGACAGGCCACACACTGAGGGAAGGGCAACTCAAACTTATTGGGACTTGTCACCAGGAGGTATTATAAGATGGCAAAAGGTCATTTTCTTTTCAGGAACATCAGGTTACAACAGAGTTAACCCTAAATTCCATCCTCTCTCAGATAAATTCTGGGTAGGAGGTACCTGCAATAATTTATTGTCCAGTCTTCTTAGCTGCAAGACTTAATGTAGGATCTTATTTCCTCCTCTGAAGCTGACTTATCACTTTGTGTCTCAAAATGACTCCTGGATGTGACCTCCTTCCCTTTACTATAGTCCTCCTCAATTATCCAAACTTGGTCCCTGTAAGGCCTTTTCAACCAAACTATGTTTAAACTTCCTACTCCACCAAAACCCCTTTCCAATGGCAGACATTCTAGATGACCCATCTCAGACAGAAGAAAGTTTTGCTCCTCAGGACCACCTGCCACTGCTGGATTTGCCTCAGTTTCTGTTTATTCCTCAGGGTCTAGCTGCTCAGTGCCATCACTCCCCATCTTCTCCTTCTCAACTAACCTGAAGCAGTGGACTTGAAGGGGTTGTCCTCCTTTGAACTGATTGGGTTCTTCTCCTACAAGGCTTCCGCATGCCTTCTTATGTCTTCCCATTGTCCATCCATCTATCATCACTCCCCCCACTGCTAGCCTCTGCATTGTTTCTACTTTGCTGGGCAACATAGAGGACATATATCTTAACAGTTTTCAAAGAGCTAGCTTTGTTAGCCTGTTGCAGCATGTACAGCAAAAGGAAAAACAAAAATGTAATGATACCTTAAAGACTCATTTATCTATTTCAGTTTGAGCATCTATAGATTTGACTCCACTTCCTCAAGCAAATGGAGCATAAATTAATATGGAATATTCACATAGAATATTTGCAGATACAGAATACTGACACCTGTTTTCTATGTGTACACGGCATGGAAACAAATACGGTAATGTTTGTTTTAATGTGACAACCTATTTAATAGTGATTTTAGCTGTATCTGTTTCTTCAAGTTTAGCTGTTGAAACACTCTGCAGCCAGACCACTGACTGGGGCCAGCTATAGGGAGCATATAATGCACCTGTTACAAGAACTGCACTGGCTACCAGTCTGATTCCGATCCTAATTCAAAGTGCTGGTCATTACCTATAAAGCCCTATACAGCTTGGGTCCAGGCTACCTGGAGGACCATATCTCCCTATATGCGCCTTCTTGGCAATTAAGATCAGCAGAGGAGGCCCTCCTCTCGGTCCCATTGCCAGCACAAGCACAGCTGATGGGGACACAGGAGAGGGCCTTCTTTGTGGCAGCTACCAGGCTATGGAATGCCCTCCCTCAGGAGATCAGGATGGTCCCTTCCCTTTCATCCTTCCAAAAAAAGCTAAAGACCCATCTCTTCAGGCAGGCTTTTAACAATTACAACTGAATCCCTGAACCCCATTTTAGCAGATAATTTAAATCTTTTTTATGTTTTCATGTTTTTATCTTTAAATTGTATTTTAAATCATATATTGTTTAATTTATCTTTTAATATTTAACTTATTGTTCTTTTAATTGTGTGAATTTTAATGTTGTGAGCCACTTGGAATCGTTTGTTGGGAGAAATGTGGCATCGGCATCATTATCATCATTATCATCATCATCATCATCAAATGAACTGCATTAGGTCCTATGGGGAGTGCTGTAGCTAGGAGAATGAATGAATGAATGAATGAATGAATGAATGAATGAATGAATGAATGAATGAATGAATGAGCATGTGATGAGAAAGAGTGGTTATTGTAGATTCCAGCAAAATGTCTTTATAGATATGCATAGCGATACAACTGCACCTGTATTTTGACCACATTATGGAACATACTTTATTCTTCTGTGTTTACAAGTAGCATTTCTGAATGCCCTTTCAGACAAAAACTGGTTTTCTGGCAAACCTGGAGTTTATTATAGGAATTAAGAAAAATATAAGGAACATGGGGAAAGTAACTGGGTGAGAAAGGGACAGGGATCTCTGTTTTTAAGAAAGAGAGAACAGAACAAATAGCAATACAGTACTAGCAGCACCCAATAAGGCATCATTCACAGGTGTTGTGTTTCCTCCATGTATAACAACAAGGAAAGCAGAAGAGTTGTGACCCTTTATGTGACGTTTCATGCATTACAATTCACTTCCTTAGGCATATGGGCCAGAAAGAGATTCTCTATACTTGCTCTCTCTAGTCCAAGACCAAAGATGCCCACAATCCAGTGCTTAGTCCCAGATGCTGTCTAGCCTGTTCTGTGCTGGAGTGTTGGCCCCTTTGATATAGCAACATCCATAATCAACATTTTGACTGTAGAGCACCAAACATCTTATTTTCTAGTCTCCACTAGTATTTAATTTACCTTTGACTACATGACCACATAGTTTCATTTTTAAGGATGGGCCAGAAGGGGCATAACAAATTGGGGGTGCACTTCAAGGCATAGTAAATTCCCATTTTCATATTTTTCTAACAAGTCCCTTGGGCTATAGAGGAATCATAGTCTTCCCATATATAAACCACAGAATAAGCTGTCTAGACAGCCGCAATTTGTCATAAGAATGTGAACGTTTAGTGTGAACGTTGAGTATGACAATGGGTCAGGAAGGAAGGGATGGATTTCCCCCCTCTCCAATTAGCAAGTAGTCACAGACAACAGTATGGATTACAGAAATGGCCTACATCATATAATTTCTCTACGCCAATGATTTTGGTGCTCGACCTTTTTTGCTCAAGCTACTGAGACTTGCATTAGATTTTTTTTTAAAAAGCCCCCAATTTTAGCTGAGGTATGTAGCCACAGATGATGAATACCAAAGAGCCACTTCCGAGAAAACAAACAGTACATGAGAAGAGAAACAGTACATGCCTACCCAGAACCTGTTAAACTGGTTGCGTTGTTCTGAAAAATGACCCTCTAAATGTTTAAGTGATCTCTTTCTTAAGACTGCAGTTCTGGAAAATTGTTGAGTTACAAATGGAAAACAGAATCTGAACAAAGCTGACTCAGTAGCCTTACATGTAGTACTACTACTTTTTGGTTTATGGTTCTGTTTTGCCCTTAAATCCTATAGCACTGTTACAAGTGACTGTTATGAGGAAGACCTGGAGCAAGAAAACCTAGAATGAAGTATAGCAAAATACTTTTCAAGTTCACCACAGATAACTTGTGTACCCTTGGAATGAAAATCTGTCACCTTGTAGAGACATTATTTCTAGGGAAGACCTGAAAATGGTTCAGTGCAACTAAACACTATTTAATGAAACTCAGATGTGTTTTTCCCCATTCCCCTGATTTTCCATACAACAGAAATTGAGACTTTTACAAAGAACACAAAAGACAGACGCAGAACCATAAAACACATCTAAACAAGAATAATTTGGCAGTGTGAACTCACTGCATAATCTTTTTACAGAAATGTATTGTTGCCTAAGCTGAAGAAAAAGATGTCAGGAAAGCAAAAGCTTAGTATTATATACGTGCATTTA